GTCACCGAGAACTTCTCTACCCAGCCTCTTTGTTCCCAGAATAACAACTCTGAGACTTACTTAAGAATAAATGCCTAGGCTACAAGCTTTGGCTCATTCCCCGACCAGCTTGTGACATATATATAACCTGTTTGTTCATGTCTGCTGCATGGTTACCTCTCCTCAGTTTCATTTGTCCATCTTCTCCAAGAATAGGATGAAATCTCCCACTCTTGATTTTTTTCCCAGAATTCCTATCTCTCCCTGCCCGGTGTCCCACCTTCTAATCCTGACTCAGCTCATTGGCCATCAGATTTTTATTGACAGGTGATGCTTCCACACAGTACAGGCTATGGAGAATCCCGGAAATGTGAGTCAAAAGGAAGTCTTGCTTCTTTATTTTTGGGAGGTGGGGAGGAGGCAAGTCCTGGACGAGTTGAGAGAGGGTTTCTCTGTATAACATCTCTAGATGTCTTGCAATTCATTTTGTAGAGCAGTGTCCCCGAACTCACAGAGATTGGCCTGCCTTTGCCGTCTGTGTGTTGGGACCAAAGGCGTGCACCACTATACTTTGTTAAACTCTTCTTTAAACTGCTTTTGTTGGGTATTTGGTTCCAGCAACACAAGTAACGGCAGGGTCTATGTCACTCAAGCTAGTTTCCAAGTTGTGTGCTCCTGTTACCTCAACCTTCTGAGTGGTACCATAAACATGTCACAACACGTGACTGTTGAGCTTTTTGTTTGTATTTAAAAAAAAAAATTTTTAAGATTTATCCAGCAGTACATGCCTTTAATCCCAGCACTAGGGAGGCAGAGGCCAGCCTGGTCTACAGAGTGAGTTCCAAGACAGGATTACACACAGGATGCTAGAAAAAGAAAACAGCCAGGTGGAGATGGGCACACCTTTAATCCCAGTAAGTGGGAGGCAGAGGCAGATGAACCTGAGTTCAAGGCCAGCCTGATCTACAGATCGAGAGTAACCTTGTCTTAAAAAACCAAAAACAAAAAAAGAAAAGAAAAAGGCATGTGAAAATCTGGTATAGCTGTGGGTGATCTGAGACTGAAGAGAAAGATCTAGCTACATACAGTTCCTGATGCTGACTGCGCAGATGGGATAGTGAAAGAGAGTTCCTGCATTGTGTCTCTCATAGCTGGCAGTGGCGTGATGGTTAAACAGCTACTGTCCAGGGAGCTAAGGTAGGGAGCAGAGGACCAGGACCAAGCTGCAGTGGGAAAAGAATGAGCAGCTCAACGTCCAACCCATGGGACTCAAAGTACCCGAGGGAAACCTGGCAGGTGAGCTGTGTGGACCTGCGAGCTGGAGGTCACTTATTAACAGTCTGGAAATATTCACCCAGGAGATCGGAGACCGGCATCTGAACAGAAATAAAGGCTCTTAAGGAAAGGAGAGGTGTGGTTAGGAAAGAGAAGACTGGAAAGCCCACCTCTCAGAGCTGTCAACATCTCCAACTTGGGAATTCCCGAGTTGAGAAGACTCCTTTAGATTGGTCCCTAGCTCACTGATGAAGTGGCCAGAGACACACCCGCCACCCGCTTCTAGCAAACATGGCTTAGGGGCCGTTTTCACATTGTTCAATCACATGTGTATATGAATTAACTCATGTATTCCTTTGTCTACCATATGGCCTCTCACAGAAGGGTGGCAATGTACTAAACACCTGTGCTGTCTTCAGTCCTCAAAAGATCAAGGACTCAGAATTCACACCGAACTGGATTTGGGACTTAGTTCCACAATTTAAAATAGTCTCTGAAATTTATACAACTAGTACATACTCCCCACTGAACCCGTCTATAGATATACCTCCGAAACATTGCCATTAGACAGCTAAGCCAATCTAGATGCTCTTCCAGAACAGAATGCTCACTGATTCTCTTGGTTCTTAGCAAATAGTTTCTTGTTGAGGCCCAAATTCTGTCAGCCATTTAAAAACAGTTTCAAGCCAGGCCTAGTGGCATAAGCCTGTTATCTCTGCTCTTCAGAAGGCTGAGGCAGGAGGATTACAAGTTCAAGGTCTGTCTGACTGAGCTGCCTATCTTGCACGTATGCACACTCGCACATGCACTCGAGACATCTGTGAATATAGTTCAAAGATGGAGTACCTAACATCCTAATTTGAATGAGCCTGGGTTTAATCCATACCCAGCACCAGAACAAAAAATGCCATTACACAGTGTACATATGTGTCAATGAGTTATCATATTAGACACTGAGTATTGTATGGTTCGGATTTCTATTGCTGTGATGAAATATACTGACCAAAACCTACTTGGGAAAGAAAGGGTTTATTCCATTTTACAGCTTGTATCATCCAGGGAAGTCAAGACAGAACTCAAGAAAGAACGTGGAGACAGGAGCAGAGGAAGAAGCCGTGGAGGGGAGCTGGTTTCTGGTGTGCTCTGCTTGCTTTCTAATAGAATCCAGTACCAGCAGTGCAGCCAGGGATGGTACCACCAGGGAGCCCTCCTGCATCAACCATCAATCAAGAAAATGCCCCACCGGCTTCCCAGTCTGGAAGGGGCATTTTCTCAACTGAGATTCCCTCTTTCAAATCAACTCTAGCTTATGTCAAGTTGACACAGAACTAGTCAGCACAACTATGTACCAGTATTATATGCTTTAATTAATAAATTTAAAAAGGACTTGGGGCTTGCAAGGTAGCTTAACCTTGCAAGCATGCGGGGCAGAGTAGACTCTCCAGAGTTTATGTAAAAAGTCAGGCAAGGCAATAGTGTGTAGATTAATTCCTCTTGTCAGGGAAATGGAGACAAACCGGTGAGAGGCCAGATCTCCAGAAAGGTCATTAACAGTCTGGAGAGATTAATCCAGGAGATCACCCTGAAGAACACCACCTAAGTAAGCCTGAGCTCCGGCCTGCGTGGGAGAACTTCAATGTGTCCACACACACAGGGCCTGGCTGGGGAACGTAGCTTGGCCAAGGCTCTGGATTCAGTTGCCTCCACCGCAAACTAAATAAAACATTGTGTAAGACAATGGAGGCAATAAACATTTATCTATCTAACAGGATATACATATAATGATAAGCACATCCTGGTTCTATTCCTAGCCCCTATTGTTCTGTGGATTTCCCTCTGCCCATAGCTAATCCAATAATAAATTGTGTTGGCTCTCTTTCTAATATATACCAAACCCAGCAGCTCACAACCAGCTTAGAGTTCAAATGACTTCCTGCGACTGTGACAGGTAATGCCCTGTGTGTTCTGGTCCCTACCTGTTTCCCTCCCATCATGCCTTCTTTCTGCTCAGGTACAAGCTTGTGCATTTGCTTTTGCCTTTTGATGAGAGTACTACTTCCCAGTCTGCTCCTGCATGCTTCTTGGTGTGCATTCAGGTCTGGAATCAAATGTCACCTTTATTTAGATCCTTTGCACGTGCCTCTTACTCTCAGAAATTATCCTATATTTAATTTTTTTAAAAAATTGTAGCTTTCCAGGTAGTTCCCTGGGCCTAGAAAGATGCCACCGATATCACATCACAGGTCTTTGTTATACTGTATATTCATTGACTGACCAACTAACCCAGGGATATGTCTACAGTTCTTTAAGCGTCTTTTGAATAGAGAAAAGGGGATTACTAGCAGGTAGCTTTAAGCTTCAGAGATGTAGAGGAAAGTATCGCAAAGATTGGGCTCCATGGTGAACCTTTGCAATTCCCTGCTCAATTTCTCTAGACACTTGAGCACATTGGTTGACAACCCATCTTTCAAGTAAAAAGAGCTATAGCTGAAGAGGCCCAGGAAAAAATGGTCCCACAGCCTGGCAGCATTATTGCCGTTTTAAGGAGCTCGGCTAGAGCCCCTCCCTCATCACCCAATGTTTAATGTACCGAAGTTAGTGCAAGTCACGTGAGAGCACGAAGGTTTGCCACGCCTTAAAGAGGAGGAGTCTTTCCTTGGGGACCAATAGCATAAGCCGTTTCAGGAACAGCCCTAATTCCAGACAGGGAAAGGGGCGGGGCCAAGAGTCTAAGCCCATGTAACAGCACTTCCGGAAAATACGCCCCTCCCCTCCCCCCTCCCCGTTTATTTCGCTAGTACCGGGTGGGCTGAACCAGCGGGTGCTGATTAAAGGCGCCGCCTGCCGCTTTCTCCTCACCTCCCCCCCCTCCTGTCTCCCCGCCCCCTTTCCGAGTAGCGGGACCAGCCTTGATGTAGGGACACCCCTGCCCCCCTCCGCGCTTCTATCGCCCTTATCCGGGAGCCCCGAGCGCCGCAATCCTTCTGCCTCCTCCCGCCCCCATCTTGCCCTCCTCACTCTGCTTCGAACCCATTGTATGCGGGGCAGCTGCGAACCGGGGCCAGAGACAGTGTGCCCAGTGTGCCCCGTCAGTGGGTCCCGCGGGCCGAGGCTCTCCCCCGCCCGTGCTGCTCCAGGCAGGGGCGAGAGAGCCCTTCCTCCCTGCGCTGGTGGCGGGGACCGGCTGGCCGCACCCCCGGCCTCAGCTTGATCCCCTAGTGTCCCTTCCTTGAGGGAAGAAAGCAGAGAGACTCGAGGCCGAAAAAAGCAGCTTTTAACTGTCCGGCCCGCTGATCATTTTTATTATCGAGATTATTATTAAAAGGGGGCGGGACCCCAGGATGCGGAGAAGGGGGCCAGAGACGCAGCTATTTCTATTAAACAGATTATTCTTGAAATAATACACGCAAGATGGCTGAAGGTGGTTATGATGAGAGAGTTCGGGCTGGGGGCTGGTTTCTTCCTTTTTTTTCCCCCCTTTTTTCTTCCCTTTTTTTTTTTTTTTTGATCTAAGGATAAAGCTCTGAAGCGACAGCCGCAGCGGAGACCCTGCCCGGAGTGCCCGCCCTCCCCTCACTTGAGAAGCTGCGGGAGGACAAACGGACCCACGGACAGAGCGACGGGCGCGGGCCCGCCCCGGACGCGTCGCCCGGGCAGCGCTGGGGGCAGCAGGCGCTCTCCGTTCTGCCTACTTCTTCCAATTCTAATCTTTTTAAAAGATTTTTTTTTTTTTGGAAAGGATCGGGATGGGTGGAGCAGAGGTAGAGAGAAATCAAGACTTGGCATTTTTCTCCTTCTCTCTCTCCTAATTTGCTGGAGGCCACCAGCCCTCCCCTTGGAGGAAAAAAAAAAATCCCACCAAAGGGAGGGGTGGAAAAGCGAGCTACAGGACCCTCGAGCGCGCTCCCGGACCCCTGTCCCCACCGCGGCCGCTGGGAGCTCAAGATGGCTGGGCGCTGAGGACGCACCCGGCCCGGCTGGCTCGGCCTGGCTCCGCCGCCGCCGCAGGCTGGCTCCGACCGCAGCCCGGAGCCTTCCAGGCCGGAGCAGAGGCCGAGAAGAAAAGAAAGTGGGGGGGGAGGGGTGGGGGGGCGAAGGGGGAGGGCCGGGCGGGGGGAGGGGAGGGCCGGGAGCCGAGCCTCCTGTTCATTAGCAGTTGAGAAAAATTCCTTTCTAGTTTGATCAATCCTTGTTTTCCTCAGCGCAGGCGAGGCGCCCGCCCAGCGCGGGGACAGGGAGTGGGGTCTCTCCGCGGCGGGGGCGCCCTGCGCGGGGCCTCCAGGGAGCGCAGAAGTAGCGACGAGGGGGTCAGGCCGGAGCACCTCCCGGGCTTCTCCCTCCCTCCCTCTCTGGTTGCCTTTTTTTTTTTTTCCACTTCTCTCCCTCCCCCTTCCGTTTCTATTTGTGAAGGGAGGAGGAAGGCAGAGGCGGGCTGGTGTCTCTGGCCGGGGACTGGAATTTCATCTGAATGACTGCCCCAGCGCGCACGCAGCGCCCCGGAGTCGGCCCGCCCGCGCCCTGCAGCCCGCAGCCGGCCGGCCAGCTGGGGGACGCCCGCGCCACGGCCCGGGGACCGCCGGCGCGCCTCGCTCGCCCGCTCCCGCTCCAGCCAGCCTCGGCGCGGCCGAACTAGCTTCCCGTGCCCCTCGGACCTCGGCCGGGATCCAGGCGAGGAAGGCGCGGCTCGCACCAGCCAGAAGGGAGCCACCGTCGCCGCCAAAGGAAGAGTGCGGCTACCCCGCTCGGTGCGCCGCGGGGCGCGCCCCGATGTCAGCCGCGGGGCCGAGCGCAGGCCGCGGGCCGCCGCTGCCCTAGCCGCGCTGACGGGGAGGCGGCCTGTTATATGGAATTTGGACCACGGCGCTCCCCTCCAGGGCTGGTGCCCCGGCCGCGGCCCTGGCGCAGCCCGTCGCCTCCCGCTAGCCACTCGCCAGAAGGAGGAGACGCAGCCGGCGGCGCGCGCGGCGCGAGGACCCAGGCTCCCTCCTCTGGGGGGCGGGCACGCGGAAGGCGCTGGTGACTGAGCGACTGGCGCGGCCGGCGGGGACCGGAGCTCCGGACTCAGTGGGTCCCCAGCTGTACCAGACGGATCCCCAGGGTTGGGGAGTTAGCGAGGTCTACCCGGGCCCCCTGCCCGCAGCCGCCATGGCGGAGAATTGGAAGAACTGCTTTGAGGAGGAGCTCATCTGCCCCATCTGCCTGCACGTTTTCGTGGAGCCGGTGCAGCTGCCGTGCAAACATAACTTCTGCCGGGGCTGCATCGGCGAGGCTTGGGCCAAGGACAGTGGCCTTGTGCGCTGCCCGGAGTGCAACCAGGCCTACAATCAGAAGCCGGGCCTGGAGAAGAACCTGAAGCTCACCAACATCGTGGAGAAGTTCAACGCCCTGCACGTGGAGAAGCCGCCGACGGCACTGCACTGCGTGTTCTGTCGCCGCGGCCCCCCGCTGCCGGCACAGAAGGTCTGCCTGCGCTGCGAGGCTCCCTGCTGCCAGTCTCACGTGCAGACGCACCTGCAGCAGCCCTCCACCGCCCGCGGGCACCTCCTGGTGGAGGCGGACGACGTGCGGGCCTGGAGCTGCCCGCAGCACAACGCCTACCGCCTGTACCACTGCGAGGCCGAGCAGGTGGCGGTGTGCCAGTACTGCTGCTACTACAGCGGCGCGCATCAGGGACACTCGGTGTGTGACGTGGAGATACGGAGGAATGAGATACGGGCAAGTACACAGAACGCGCGCGAACACACACACACTCACGCACGCACACACACACGCGGCCTGGGAGCCACCCATCCGCACAAGCTGACTCTTGTGACATTAGCCTAGAGGCCCCCTTCCAAACTCTTCCGTGAAAGTTTTGGGGGGCCAGGTCCTGGGGAAAAGGCCCCCGGCTGCTGGCCGCATTCTCGCACCTGCGCCCTTAGGATCCGTCCTGCAAGTCATTTATGGAATTGGGGGAGGCTGCTAGAAGTAGTTTTGAGTGTTGCTTTTTCTGTTTTGCGCAGCTCCCTCCCCCTGCATTGTTTCTGTAAGCTCTACGGGAAGTCACCAAGGCAGTGACCCCGGTCCTGCTTCTCCAGCTGCTGTTTATGTAATGAGTGTCCTGGTGCCGCTGCTGTGGCTGACATGATCCATGATGCTGGCAATACCAATGAGGAAGTAAACAAAAGCAGCCATGTTAGTTTTAAGCTCTATTGGAAACACACTGTGGGGGGGGGGGGGTTAGCTTCCGGAGGTAGAGCAGAACTCTGGCATCTAGTTGGGCAAGGCCTGGCTGTCCAGAGGAGTCCCGGCCTGTCAGCTCTTCCAGTCCGTCCTAGTAGACGCTCCCCAGGCTAAAGTTGCTCTATATACCTCTATATACTTGTATGCTGCCTGCGCCTGGCATGAACAAACCTTAAAGTATGTGTCTTCTTCACCCTGGGCTCTTTCCTCTCAGTCCTGCCCTCTTACACAGCCCTCCCACATTTGGGGAGGGGACATGGAAGACGGAAAAAGAATCCTGTGGGTTTAAGGTTGAGCCGCGTTGAAATCTGGTTTCAGGCAGCTGGCTCCCCTGGGCTGCCGGCTGGGTGATTACGAACCGCACCCCCTCCCATTGTATACACCCTGCTGCAGCAGCCAATGTCAAAACCGCCTTCCCCCTCTCAGGCCTCTGGGCCTAGCTAGGGAACTGGAGTGGGGCATACTTCCGTCCCTTTCACTGGAAGGGGGCTCCTCCCAGGTTCCTCTCGGGTCTCCTGCCTCTCTGGGTTGAGTCACACCGGAGGAAGGAGCTGATCTAAGACTGAGCCATCTTGAAAGCCCTTGCTAGGGGTCTTGTGATAAGGGATCGAGGTTGGGTTTGGTAGGACCAGGAGTGTGTGTTTAGGGTGGGGGCCCCTGGAGGCCAATGAGGCTGCTGCAGTATGAGGAAGCCGGGCCTGTCCAGAGTGTAGATGGGGGTTGTTTCCTTGGTGGTTGTGGGGGCTGGAGGGAGACAAGGAGGGGACCAATCTAAATGACTCACTGTTTAGCAATTAAAAACCACACAGATACAACCAACAAAAGGCAGAAGGGCCACCGCAGGCTGAGGGCGGGGATAACAAAATTTGCTGTATAATTAGTTTGCAATTGCATGGGCCAGCTCTGGGGTTTTGTGCCAGGAGAGGCCTCTGGTTTCTTAAAGGAAGTGTGGGGGATGGAGAAGTGGAGTCACTCCTCCCCACCAGTTGGAAAAGGCCAAGTCCTGGGGAAGCGGAGGAGCCCTGTGGTCCTCCTCCCGACTCCGGTTAGGCAGAGCCTACACTTTACCCAGTATTGAAGCTGCCTCTATTACTAAAGATAGTAGGGGTGGAGGCTGGGAAAGTCCAAGGAAAGGCTGGAGAGAAGACGGCTGTCCAATCTCTGTCCTGGGATTGACTGTGTAAAGGGGGGGGGGAGATAGGACTGAATGGAACAGTAGTGGAAGTGGTGTATTCTGTGTGTTTGGTGCACGTGCTAGGGATGTCTTGGCGGTAGAGATGGAAACTTAATTATATCTGGCTTGCTATTAGGAAGGCATCCTTAGATATGTGTGTGTGTCTCCATTCACCCTCAAATGGGTATGTCTTGCTTTAGGATTGGGAGGAAAGGGTGGCATTTGCTTATAGGAATGTACTTGGGGTTCCTTTCATCGGGGACAACTGAACTTTGTCAGCAGCTCAGTGATATGTGTGTCTGTTGTGTGCACACACACGCATGCGTGCATGTATGCATGTGCTCAGTGCCTATGGGGCAAGCTCAGAAATAGTGAGTTGCATTAGGGCCAGATGTGCAATTCTGTGAGCTCAGCACCTGTGCCCCAGGCTTATCTTCCTTCAGGTTCCTCACGTCCTATCTCTCTGGTGCCCCAGGCTTTAAAAAAACCTTTCAGTAGCCCCTTATCACTCAAGTAGAAGTCTGACTTATTGAATGCAGACGTAGGGCTCCCACCCTTGGGGAGGGGCTGGGCCCAGAGGAAGCTGACTAGAAAACCCTGCCTTCTCTTTAGGCTATCCAAGAGACTTTGCCTCAACCGGTTTTCTCATGCTAGGCCTGAAAAGGCCTTTGGTAGTGCTGCAGAAAAGGGCACCAGAACCACAAAAATAATCTATGTTCTGCTTGCTGTTTCTCACCTGCCCTCACAGTGGGTAAGGGTCCAGGTCACGTGGCCGGAAATAGTTAACATTGCTGAGCGTCCTGGGTGTGGTAACCCAAAACTTTAATCCCATCACTGAGGAAGCAGATGCAGGCAGATCTCTTGAGTCTAAGGCCAGTCAGGATTACATAGTGAGACCTTGACTCAAAAAACCCCAAGAATAACAACAAAAAACCTACCACCACCAGTACCACCATCTCCACCAACAAAACAACCACCACTTAACCCTTCCAGTAGCTGTATCTCCAAATACTCACAAGCACCCACTTTTGTGTGCTTGAGCCAGTGGCTTGGGTGTGGCATCGGGAAGGGGTGGTACTCGAGTTAGGCCTGTGCAGGCCAGGACATTGCCCCATTCTGCCTTTGAGAGGACTGGGTGCCAACCAGATGGGGCCTCAAGATCACTCACTGGGACATACCTATGCCCTCGGAGTGTTTTTCCTTTGGGCTGTGGGCCCAGGCTTGAGACATCCAGTGGGCTCAGGCCTAGCAATCCTGAATGTCAGACAAAATCCCTTCAAGCCTCTAAGTTTAAGAGTTCATCTTAGCGACAGGGGGCTGATGGAAGTTGGGAGCCCTCTTATGACCTTTCAACATAGAAAGGACCCAAGAGAAGTCACGGTCATTCGTGGGAGGGGCTTTGTAGATGTGCATACTTGAGCTTGCTTGGTTTGTGTGCTTCTGTGACCTGGAAGCAGGCTGGAGAGGTTGGCCTGAACCATGTACCTCACATCCTCCCTCCTGAGGAAAAGAGGTGTTCTCTGAGAATGCAATCCCACTGCTGAGATTTGTAGTTGCTTAGAGTGAAAGTACCCCATGCCTGTGCTGGCAGGAGAACCCTGTAGACTCCCGTGTGGAAGTGAGGCCTGGAGGTCTCTGGTAAGCTAGGGCTGGAGTTACAGCTTGATTCAGGGAGTTCAGACCCATCCTTCCCACTGCCAAAAGCAGACAGAGTGGGGAAACTCTGTGTGTGGGGGAGGGGGTAATGTGACCCTTGTCCTTTCCTTGATCATCCTGCGTCTTTAGAGAAGGAAGCCTGCTTTGGCTTCCTCCCTGGGACCTAAGAGAAGCCTCAGGCAGGTCCAGTCCCCTGCCTCTACCCCAGGATCCTGCTGACAGCCAGGAGCCTGTCATACATTCTCATTGATTGCTCTACCTGCCAGTTATGGACTCAGGGCATCTGTCTGTCTGTCCGTCTGTCTATTGTAACTTTTTTTTTCACATGAGAATCTCCAAGAAAGGATGTGTGCATGACTGACTTAATTGGCAGTACTTTCCTGTGTGGCTGTGGAGTGAAGGAGAGAGTATGCTCATGTGTTTATGTCTGTGAGGAAGAGTGGGTGTCAGGTGAGATGAGTGGGGCACAGGACAGGCTGTTTGGGCCTCACTGGTTATCCCTGCAAACTGAATTTCCTGTCCTTTATTTCATTCAGACTGCCACTTGCAAAGTGCTCAAACAGGTACTAGGTGGGCTGTGAACCTGCCAGGGGGCTTGTGACTTTCTTACCTGGGGATCTTTGGGAAGGGAGAGGAGGCTGGGATCTGTGTTAGGGTAAGCTATTGCCTGTGATGGGGATTGGGGGTAGCACAGAGCCCCAGTGGATGCTGCAGAGCTGGGGAGTGAGGAGAGTCTGGGTGGGCAGCCCCACTTGGGCCTCTGCCCTGGGCTGAGCAAGCAAGCCTGGCCAGCTCATCCCTGGCTCTGGGAAAGCCTTCCTCCCTGGCCTGCCTGGCATTCAAACCCAGACAAAGGGGGGCTTTCTCTCTCGCCTCTTTGTTCTGCTGCCCCAGAGGCTGCTCTGTGCGCAGCAAAAGCTAATTCGGCTCTGCAGCTGGGAAGCCCTCTCACACTGATGGCCTGTGGGGATG